AGACAGTCAACAGAACAGGCTGGTGTACCTTTGCCTACGGTTGGTGAGGACGCTTCACCAGAGCCTGATGGTCAACGACCTGGACTTCTTGGAGGAGATCCGACTTCCGACCAAGGAGCAGCTGGTGATGACCTACAACATCTTCTACCTCAACAGGCAGCGGATGATGGACTTCATCATGCACAAGTTCTTCCAGTCGCGGATGGTGGTGCAGCTGCAGCTGAACTACAACCTGGAGTCCCTGCAGGAGAGACGCCTGCAGAATATGGACGGCGGCTGGAGCAAGCGCAAGGTGCTGTGAGAAGAGCACTGTCCGAGCCAACGGACGACAGACAGGCCGTTCGGAGGAGGATCATGGAACCTCTTCGACTTGGTGGCAAAGCGATCGATGTCCTCTCAGCTGAGCTGAGACATCCACTTCTTGAGGCAGTCAACAAAGCCCAGGAGGACATAGAGAACGGACATCATGGAGAAGATGATCATGGCAGTTGGGATGGAAGATGGTCTCGCCCGACCGCGCGACAGGTTGAGATCGTCAAGAAGCTTCAGATGACATGGCCTAGTGGTTCCAACAGTGACACCAAGGAGGCTTTGACTACTGCTGCTCACGGACGTGAACTCAAATGGTCAGAGATGGACGAAGACACAAGACAGGCCTTCCGCGTTGCAGCGGCTGACCAGTGGAACAAGTGGCTGGAGAATGAGGCTGTGACTGTCTTGAGCCCTGAGGAGTCCAGAGCAGTGGAACAAGAGCTGGAGATGAAAGGTGAGCTTGAGCGGATCATGAACCCCCGCTTCATCTTGGTGGACAAGAACTCCAAGCTTCGCTCTCCAGAGTGCCCGCTTCCTTTGAAGGCCAATGCACGAATCATCGTGCCAGGATTTCGTGATCTTGCCAACCTGAATGGTGAACTTCGAACTGACTCACCGACAGCTTCAAGAATAGCGCAGCATGTGGTGTGTTGTGTTTGTGCCTCGAACCCTGACTGGTGTTTGTTGAGCGCTGATGTCAGAGCAGCTTTCCTCAAAGGAGATCCCTATGTGCAGAGACAGCTGTACATCCGTGGGACCAACCCCAAGACAGGTCCGACGATTGGGATTCCGACTGGTTGTGTTGCCAAAGTTCTCAAAGGCATTTTTGGCCTAGCTGATGCCCCAAGAGAGTGGTACTTGCGGCTGGCTCGAGAGCTTGGTGAGGATGGCTGGGTTCGCTCGAGCTTGGACTTGGCATTGTGGCTGAGGTTTGACGCAACAGGTGCTTTGACAGGCATCTTGGCAGCTCATGTCGACGACTTGCTCATGAGTGGCGACAAGGAGGCAGAAGCTTCGCTGAGCCGGTTGGGAGAAAGGATCGGTTTTGGATCCATGGATGCTCCGCCATTCAGCTGGTGTGGCAAAACCTTCACTCGTGAACCTGACGGAAGAGTCACTTTGACCATGGTAAGGTACCACGAGAACCTCACTGGAATGCAGATGCCTCGACAAAGGCGCAAAGATGTGGCAAGCTTGCTGAATGCCGCAGAAGTGAGGAAGCTCAAAGGTGTTTTAGGAGCCTTGCAGTGGCTTGTTGCACAGCTGAGATTCGACCTCTCTTTCTCTGTAAGCAGTCTTCAGTCAGAGCGACCGACAGTTGGCACAGTGCTTCGAGTGAACAAGGTGGTCGAGGAGGCCAAGAGGACCAAGGACTTCACCTTGCAGTTCAAGCCGGTCAGCTACACCCATGGTGGCATCATGGTTGTGACCGATGCTGCACTCGGCAATGTGACCGCCAATGGTTGCACGGACGCCATGCCGACCGAGAAGGTGCACTCCCAGTCCTGCTACGCAGTGTTGCTGGCAGACGAGCAGATGATGTTGGGAAAGCCTGGCAGCTTCAACTTGCTCGACTTCAGGAGTCACCGACTTCAGAGAGTGTGTCGCAGTTCCTACGCGGCAGAAACGCTTGGCGCTGAAGAAGGTCTAGACGCAGGAGAACTGTGTCGCGGCTTCATAGCAGAGCTGCGCAAAATCGACATCGCAAGTCGAACAGGACATCTCAATGTCTGCGCTGTGAGCCTCATCGGAGTCACCGATGCGAAAGATACCTATGATCGTCTTACACAAGACACTGGGTTTGGCTCGCAGAAAAGCCTTGCTTTCAGCCTTGCAGCTCTTCGTCAACAACTTCGAAGGCCATGTACTGGCTACAGGTGGACAAGCACCACAAACCTCTTTGTGGATGCTGGCACGAAGCTGATGGACAACTCAGCGCTGCGAGAGACTTTGCAGAAGGGAGAGTGGTCAATCGAGTACAACGAGAGTTTCACCAAACAGACCAAGAAGGCTGTGAAGACAGCGGTGGCTGTGGTTGAGATGCCCGGACGGGCAGTTCAGGACAGAGACAAGTCCTTGATGGAGCATGTTCTCATGGTGGCAGAGAAGAATGGGTGGCACTTTAGAGATGGAACTCCCATCCACGTGGCCCATGGAGCGATGAGTTTCAGAAGCCCAGCTCCGAGATTTGATGTCAACAAGTTTGGACTTCGAACTTCGGTGGCCTGCTACCAGAGGACTGATGGCAAGCATGAGTGGAGGATCCTTGAGGAGAAAGCCGACCTGAAGAAGATGGCAAACCTCCAGGCGAAGATGGAAGATCGATGCCATAGACTGGTATCCTTTTTCACTTGTGCGGATCCAAAGGCCACATAAAATAGAAGGCATGTGAATGAGCATGTTTGGCCTTTGGATGTGTTTCACGGCGGCCGGACAGGCCTTGAGCATTTGGCTCCAACGGTAGCAAATAGTGTGCGCATTCCGCTTCCTTCGATCTTTCGTAGGTTTTCGGGTGCCGCTATTTACAGGTATAAAGAAGCTAAAGTGCTCAAATTCTTGAACAGATGCAGTTTTGTTGTGGGATTCCTGGAAAAACTGGACAGAGTCGGCCTTCTGTAGATCATCGGATCCACAAATTGGAGTGCCAAGACAAGTCTGGAACCAGAGTGTCAACAAGAAGTTGAAGATTAGATAAATAACATTAAATCACACACACACATGACCCTTATCATCTTTGAGTAGTAACATGATCAACACGTGGTCACCTCCCAGGTCGCCGACCTCATCCTCACGATCCTCACAGGTTGACTGACCTGGTCGACCGGAAAATCGGAGCCGCTCCGGGCCGCGACCGGCCGAAAGCGCGCCGCTCCGCGCGCCGGTGCCACAGCTGCTCAGCCGTCGATTGGCCGAAGCCCAATGACTGCCGAACTCGGGGTAGATATGATATATGCCAGGTGCAGTGTGACTGTGGCGAAGTGTGAGTTGGCAAAAGAGAGTACAATGCCGCACATGTCTTTTGACCAGGGCTATTCACGACATGCATGCATGACATGTATTCAATCGTTTCTAAAAGGGGGATTGGCCTGGCTGACCTGGTACAGCATGTATGCCCCATCTACCGTCAGATGCTTGATGGTGGTGGATTGCAGGTGTCTAAACGGACAGCGGGCAGTCCGGCCACCAGGAACATCTTCCTGGCAATGGAGCGAGGGGATGCTGTGCCTCCGGAAGAGGCACGTCACTGTTGTTGTGTGGCCACGTTGTGGTGGCCAGTGGGTCTTCAAAGACACTTGGGGGTTGTCTCAAAGGATGCGAAAGAGCAAAGCAAGGGGGACATGCGTCATAAGCAACCCATGCCGCTGAACATATCAAATCATATCAATCATCATTTTCGGCCTGACACCTTTGGGTTTTGACTTTCAGGATGAGTCGTAGCAGTGCAGACTCAGCTGACTCAGCTGGTGGTTTACGGGTTTTGAGAGTTGGATGCCATAGGCCATAGGGGTTGCCCAGTGAGTTGCCCCTTGCTAGTGATGAGTGATGATATGTCATCATCACCGTTTCAATACTTAGCATGTCCATCATCCATCATCCGTTTCTATAATTTGCAGTTGCAGCATGTCGTCATCCTTTTTGCCATGATGTTGATTAAGTCCTTTTGAGCGGGGGCCGCAGGTGGTGCAGAGTTCATTGCCTTTGGTGGTGACCATGAAGAACCTGGATTCCCACTCAGGCGCCCACCTCGGTGCTTCTTTTGGACCGCTTGCGCAGATTTTTCTCATGTCTGGATCAAGGGTTTTGCAGGTTTCCCCCAAATTTCCCATGGACAATGTGTCACAAAGGATTGGATGATGGATGGTATGGCTTCCTTTCGTTATACATATATATATGTATATATAGCTGCCGCCATTTCTGCAGCGGAGGAGTGTTCCTTTCCAGGTGCTTGTGACTAAGAACCGGCCAAGTTGCGAAAATATGGCTGGGTCATGAATTAGGTATGGAGTCAGTCATGCAACTTCGACATTTGGTTCCCAGGGAAAATAGCAGGCTTTGCTTCATTTCTTTCTTCTATAGTCTGCATTTTGGGGGCAGGGACGCACATGGGCTCATGTTACTATCCGTCCATGAGTTGATCCATGGCGTGTGATTTTGTAAGTTCAACTCCCGCCGAAGCCGCTTGAGCCAAAGCAGTTTTGCTTTTTTTTAAAACAAATCTGGGTTTGGCAAGATGGAAAGGACACTTCTTCAAGTCATTGGCTTGAATCATGAGGAAGACCAACAGACCTCGCACTAGAGCTTGCTTGGTCAATCGAAACTCAGGACATGAGGTCCAAATCAATTTGTTGACCTTGGAACACAACCGAACCGTTGGCCAAAGGCACCAACCGTACTACCCACCCAGCTGAGCCACCAGAGCTCACTCCTCCCAGCCGCCTGCCCTTCTCACCTCGGCCTTCTCACCTCCCATCCGCAACTTCCTCAACTTCCTTCCTCTTCTTGTTACTACTAGTAAGGCACTTGTTACTAGAAGCGATGCACTTGTTACTCATAGCGAACCTTGTTACTGTCCTTTTCAGGAGCTGATCTCTTTTTTCTTCCGTCAACCAAACCACCGACTCCTCACCCACCGCACCATCTCGCACCACTCGACTCCTCACCCACCGCGCTCGCGGATGACCTGCGCCATGGACCTGCCGGAGATCCTCGTCCAGGAGATCGAAATCCTGCGGGCCGCATGGCGAGAGATCCAGGTTCAGAACAGGTGCAGATCCAGGGGGGGGATCTCTGAGATTTTCGCAGGTTGGTTGCATGAGGTTGCCTGTTCTCTTGCGTATATGATTGATTTGGGTATAGCTTAACAACTTAACAAGAGGAATGAAAACCCTGTGTATGGTAATTTTGTATGGTTCTTTTTGTTTGACTCTTTTTGCAGGCTCGCTTATTCTGGAGAAAGTGGTGACCTGGTGACCTGGTGGGTCCATGTGGTTTGACATGACGGTGGTGGTGGTGCGGGCGTTTCGGTGTGGAATCACTGCAGCATGCAGAGCTTGGGAGGTGCCTAGGAGGTCCATCAGGTTGATGGGGGTTGGCTTGGGATCCACTTTCCGACGTGAAAGCTGCAGATTGAATCCTCGAGGATGCAATCTTCGCAGAGGCTGACTTTCGAAAGCCCAAAACCCAGATTGGTCCCTCTGAATCCACCCCAAACACTTCCTTAGAAAAGTACTTGGAGCCATAGGGATGAAATAGATATTGTTTCTTCGGTGACGCCCCAAAAACGAAAACGCCCCAAAAACGGAAACGCCCTCCACCGGGGCATCACCATCTGAAAACGCCCTTCTGGCTGAAGGGTGTCCAGCGATGCACGGGTGAAACGAAGTCGGGAGGTTCCCAAGTGGATTCCAAGAATGCAAAGTGGAGGGTTGCCAACCATCACCCCCCAAACATATTCAATTCAGAAGTGGAGGGCTCACCAATCAAGAATACCTTCAATCTGAGACCTTCTGAGGCCATCTATGGCGAAGAACCTGTTCGGTCACTGGGCTTTGGTCAGTGGGTGGAGCGTTTTGATGGCGGCCGAGAGTCCGCCATGGGTTTGTTGGAGTTTTGCGCCAGTGGAAGAGCGCGAATTTCCTGAATCATACTGTATGCACTGTGTGGAATGCGCTGGAATCTGTGACCTGTCCCGAATAGGGCTTAGAATGTCTTAGACCTGAGGATCCCACATTGTGGGACTCAGCGGCCTGAGGATCCCGAACTCACCATGACTTCCACTTGAAGTTGGGGCCTCTTTTTCTGTCCACTGGTGGTGTTCGTGTCTGGAGCTCCGGTGGCCAATCCATCCCAGTGGAGCTCCGGTCGCGTGGAGCGGTGACGGGCCCGAACCAGGTGGCACAGGACATCGAACGGTCATGGGGAGTCATGGGACTTTTCAAAAAGGGTCCATAAGTTCGACTGGGTTCAGCTGTGTTGTTGTTGTTGTTGTTGTTGTTGGTAGAGACAAAAGCAGCTGCCCAACATAGTTGTCGCATGTTGCAAGTCAGGGATTTCTAAGGGACACTGTTAGGGATAGGGTCGAAGGGGTTTGGAGAGATGTTAGTAGCTGGACTTCTTGTCGTTGAGGTACTCAAGTCTTGGTTGGTCTGTTTCTTGTGTTTTGAGTTTTTTTGGGGTGTTGTTCTGGAGGGGGGGGTCAAAAAACAACAACGCGGCTGCAGATTTTGTTTCTAGGGGGGGGTAGAGACAACAACATTTTTTGAGGGGGGGGGGTCCAAAAAAACAACAACGGGGCTGTAGCTTTTGTCTCTAGGATGTGGTAGAGGTTCTAAGAAGAAGTTTTACAGAGGCTTAGCTGATCGGACTACCACTACTACTACTACTACTGCTACTGCTACTGCTTCTGCTTCTGCTACTGCTACTGCTACTGCTTCTCCTCCTCCCCCGACGACCACTACAACAACGACTGTTACTGGTACTAGTACCACTAGTACTAGCACTAGTACAAGCACTACCACTACTGGTAAAAGTACACGTTGGCTGGTTGTTTTCGGGGGGGGGTCAAAATAACAACGACGGGGCTGGGCTGCAGATTTTGTTTCCACCCCCTTGTAGAGACAAAGGAGCCAGGTATCTTGTAGCGGGGCTGCAGATTTTGTTTGTACCTTGTTGTTGTTGTTGTTGTTGCTGTCGTTCTTGTTCTCGTTGTTTTGGTTTCACGGCAAAACGTGAGGGTGATTGGGGGGCGACCTGACCGCAGGCTTGTCCAACGGAAGAAAGCGGAAGATGAGGAGAGCGGAAGAACGCGTGAGAACGCGCTTGACTCGACAATGCGGAATATGCTTATGCCTACAAACAGTTCTATCAAGGCAGCTGGTGCATGTTTGTTGTTTTATATAGTTATTATTATATTTGCATTTCCTTGCTTATTGAGACCGCAAAGAAAGCCAAACGCTAACGTGCACAAAAGCATAGACAGTCCCCGGTTTTTAAATCTCTTGCTTTCACATAATTTAATCTCGCATCTTGTCATTGAATTCCCGCTCACTGCACTCTATGCCCTAGCGTTTATCATGTCTCGTTTTCAATTGACCTCGTGTCCTGACAAGAAAAATTCACCTCATGTGATGCACCTCACCTCGTTTCACCTCGGTTCTTCACAAAATTTCACCTTCAAGGCTGGAGAGCCGCGAAGAGTCTTTGGATGGCGGTGGTGCATGTCTGTTTGCGGCGGAATCTTCGCATGTTGACCACCAGCTTGGCATCATCTCTGCTTGGTTTCCTTGTGATGAGGTGGTATTTTGTAATTTGCAGAATGGAATTTCAACTGCATTCTTGAGTTCTGCAACACGAGCCCCTTCCCACTGTGTGATTCCAGGATTGGGCTCCAAGGTTTTGAGCTTAACTTGGAGTCAAAAAAGAACGATCATACCGTCATATTATGCAAGACTGCGAAAATACATGCACCCGAACAAAACACATCGAAACACCCACATGCTGTTTTAGAGTTGAAAATTCCGCGACGGGACGCGTCTCAAACATTTCGGGTCATGGTGGGAGCAGCCTTGATCCACTTTGTCGCGGTGGAATTACGGCCCTTGATTTCTCTTGGCGTGAGCAGTTTGTCAATCTATGGAGCGCTGATACAAACGACTCATAACAGTGAGACTGCTTGCACTTGCGTGCCTGGCTGTACAGAACAACAGACCATTGATCAGAATAACAATCTCCTTCGAAGTGCAATGGTGAGCTTTAGCCAATTCAATGCCACCAGCAGCTGCATGTCGGTCCAGATTGTCACCAATTTTCAGTATGCTTGGTTCTATGTCTTTTTGCTGGCGGCGTTGGGCATAGTCCTCTCTATTTGCATTGGTATGTTCATCGTGGAGGCATGCAAGCAAAAATTCACTTCTATACAAAGTGGAGCATACTTTGCGTTTACCCTTGAATTGGGGCAGAGATGTCTTTACAGGGTGGCAATCAAGATATACATCTTCAGCTTGGTCGTGGTTTTCCTTGTGGGTATCGTTCTGATCCTCATTCAGTTCAAGATGAACTTCCAACTCATGTGGACAGTGGCACAGCGGGAAATCTTTCCGCTTCTTGTTCTACTACTTTCGTCACAGCAACTCCTTGCACCAGCCAACTTGACGGAATTTTCGTCTTGGAATATGGAAAAGTTGCGTCAGGTTTGCTTCCAACGTTCCTGGTGTGGTTTGTTCTTCGACTCGAATGAAGCTTTGTATCAACGAATAGGCTGGGGTGAAGATGCACTTGCTGGCATTTACTTGTGCGTTTGGAACCTGAATGGAATATGTTTGAATGTCATGGAATAGCGTCCGTGTATTCTAAAACAAGAGCCGCATTTGTTTCCCAATATGTTCAATACACATCGCTTCCACACTGCCAGGTGTGGCAACGATCGAGGCGACACGGGGCAACACCTCCTATTTGAATGCTTTGGTTCTGCGACCTGAGGATGCATCGGAATTGATGCAGGCCCTGAACTTGCCCTTTGATTGGTCCTCATTGCTGGATGAGTCGACGAAGCCATCGAGTCAGCAGATGGTTGAGGTCGGAGAGTCCGATCTCTATAGGAAGTCCCTCTAAGGGGAACGTGGTGAAGCCTTCAATTGTGCGCTCGTTTTGAAGAAGCTGCACAATCGAAAGACTAAGCTTCTCCCAGTGCAAACTTTTTGCTGCACCCTCTTTTTTAAAGATCAAAGGTGCAAATCAAGATGCAGAATCAGGTCATGCCAGAGTTTAGTCCAAGTGCACCTAACTGCAGATGGAATGAGTATGCCTTGTTCTTCATTTCCACTCAATCATGTACAACTTATTTGCCACTCCAAACAGTGGTCCAATATGGTCCAATCAGAGATTCTGGCAGCATCTAATTGGCTGGTGGGCCAGAACGGTGACCATCCCGGCCCACAGAAGTACCGACCACCTTCCGCAAGAGAAGTGCTTGAAAATGCCGCCCATGGCTGGTGTGACCAGACTTCGTGTGTTGTTTGGTCGATGGGATTTCTGGCCGCAAAAAGGTCAAGATGTCAACACACAAGACCACCTTCTCACCCGAGGAGACGCCACCCATCTGCTGTTTGGAAGTTGACCTGGAGCCCATGTCTGAGGAAGGCATCCAGCTGGACGCATGGCCCGCATGGCTTTCAAGGTTGTAGCCAGCCTTCAAGCTCTTGTTTGAGGGTGCACTTGAGGTTGATCCTCTTGTTTGGACAAATCAAGGAATTTTAGGAGTGTTTTGGGGAGGATGTGCTACCAGTCAGGGATCCTGGCAATCATTGTTCAGCCTGTTTGCTGTTAACTTCCAAGCTCAACACACCTTGTTTTTTCAACCCACCCATGTTTGATTTCAGGTCGCCTTCGCCTAGACTTGGTCCCCCAAAATCAAGGCGTTTCAAGGCTCCACCCGGCACATGGCGTAGCAAAAGAACTATGAAGGCGAGACAGAGGAAGCGGGACAGATGTTTTTGCTGACTGTTGATGGTTACAAAAGACACTGGCATCAGATGGAAGCACCAACACATTTTATTGTATTTTTTTCGATATGTTTTTCTTGCGCGAAAGGGCAAGTGCTGCAGGATTTGGGAAACACCTGCTGGAGTTCACGTTCTTTTTTTTTATGCACATGAAACCCCTTCTGAAGCTAATGTATATACCCAGGTTTGGGTGACGCTGCAGCTGATTGTGCCTGCTGGCTACCCTTCCAATGCCACACCAACGATCTTGGTGGAGAAGTCCCGCGGGATTGGAGATGCCGCTGGGTGAACGAAGAGTCCAGTTGCCACATGGATCGACCATACATTGACCGGATCCCCACATATACCAGCACCTGGGGCAGAATTCTGCCTCAGTGCGATTTGCTGAGGATTCGCGGATTTAGGGGAAAGACGACCTAGGTAGGAAATGTCAGCCTTTCAAAAGCCATCACCATTGCCTAACACCGACCAGGTTGTCTCTTCCATGATTGCAGGCATACCACGCATCCTTCTGCAAGGACATACTTCAAGAACCCTAAAGTTTACGCTTCTTACTCTGTTCCAACATAGCACTTGCGGTCTACAGCGGATCGGATTGACACGTCCATTTTGCCTGGCAGGTACAGCACGGTCAGATTTCCACACCCGTTTAAATTTATAATACATTATAAGGCTTTCAGGTGTGTAAATCTGACCGCAACTTAGGTGTAAACATGTTGCACGTAGGATTCTAAGGGGAAAGGGTTTGTCCTGTTTTACAAGTTAAGAAGCGCAACTTTCTGCACCCCAGTGTAGTTTCACATCTCAAGATCTCACACCCTCCCCCGCCAAGGCCGGTTTTGACACTTCTTGATTCATGAAATTCACAAGAAAGACTACAACATATGTTCAAACCCTTTGCCAGGCATTGTTGTTGAATTCTTCCGCATGTGTTCATTCCGCACAAGAAACCTTCAATAACAAAGACATATGATACGACTGTAGCCAGATTTGCAGGTGGAGGTGGAAACTTAAGTGGCGACATTCTTTCTTTTTCTCATTGAGGTGACCGTTCCAGTGAGAAATGCTCAATGTAAACCACAAGCAAATATTCACAAAGCCTCTAGAATATATCATCTTAGTCTCACTAGATTCCTGCAAGGGAACATTTACCGCAGCAAAAACATGTCCCGAAGACAGTTGATGTCCGCCTCAGGACGGCAGGAGCAAGTTTACCGAAAGGATCCTCTAGAGTCTAGAGATCAGTAAGTCTTCCATACATGGCGTGGGGATTTGCCGCGACCGACCCCACACCTGAAAACGGACGGACACGCCGACCAATGATCCGACGTTGAGAAGAGCCGAAGAGCCGAGGTCCCGACGGAACGCCGGTGTTTTCGTCATGGTTTCTTTGAAATCTGGATGCTGCAGCTCAAACAAAGCCGCAAACTCCACCACATCATGTTCTGTTTGAAGCATATCGACATATATTTCTACTACGGCACTACGTCTCAGCTCATATAGGTGGTGAGGCTGTTTGTCGGTGGGGTCCTTAATGGCTGGTTTTTAGGTTTCAGATGAGTATTTATGTGTATTTGGGGCGACTTGAATGGCACACACATATGCACTCTTTGGACTTGACGCACCAAACACCCAGGTGGCCACTGAAGCCATGATGGACGCCGTCGGGGTACCAGTGAAGCGGCGGTGTCGGACGGTGTCAGGCTGAGCAGTGCTGATCCGTGATGTTTTTGTTCAACCTGCGCAGATGCGCGCAGGGTTGTACTCTTGTGGCAATCAAGGTATACATGGAACATGGCCTGGTGAAGACAGGTCGACACAAAGGCTCATGCCGTATCGCCAAAAATTGGATCGCTTGCGTGAAACTTTCATTCAGGAAACTGGTACCCGTTGTTGTGTCGAGCAGTGTGTTTTGTCCATTCAATCCATTCATGTTTAGTGCTGAGAAGGTTCCACGTTGGCACCGTACTCCAAGGAGATGTTCAGGTGCCCAATGTGTTCTATCATATCATCCTATTTACTAATATGTCATCATCTCACCTCACTTGTTATTGTTTGACCCCTTTTTCAATGCTTGTCTACCAACTGCAGCCTTCAATCATCTCCAATTCTCAAATCCCCGGACCGCCGTTGCTGCACCTTCTCCGGAGCCGCCGTCCACGGGCTTCTTGCTCCGAGGCCGAAAAGGCCCGACAGCAGTACGGGCTCCAGGAGGAGGGTTGCTTGGCTCCCCTCCTCTCCGAGGCCGGAGATGAAACCGGTGGCATGGGTCCGAATTTCAGGGCGTGGGTCCGATGCTGTGTTCAGACACGGAAGACGATTCGGTGCTGAGGTGCAGGACCATCTTCCTTTTTAACCTCCCAAAATGAGTTGGTGAGATGGGTCAAGGGTGGTCAAGGGCTTTGGATGACTAGCCGGGCAGATGGCTTTTGATGCAGTTAAACACTCCCCGAATCATCATGGAAGTGGAAGTTTGGCACGTCGGATGACCGTTTTCCTAATACAAACAGAGGGTTTTCCATTTCCAAACCGGAAGTCTATTGTCTTCTGTGTTCTGGCAACCCCGGCCTCTTTTCCCATGATAGTAGAAGACATGTGAAGCGATCGTTCACAGCCCCCCCGCATGCCCGCATGTCTTCTCCATGCCCGCATGTGCATCCGAAGTTGTCACCTTGTGGAACAAACCTGGTATCGTCTCAACTTCGTCTCCCGCATCGAGTCGCGAGACGCCAAGCCGTCGAAGAGAGAGGCTACCCGTTTCGTAGGGATCTGAGGCACCCGATGTGGAGGTGCTGTACGGGATCTTGAGGTGCTGTCTTCGGCTGGAGGAGCACCGAAACCACCATGTTCTTCATGTTCTTCTGCTTTTTTTCAACAGGTCATCCCAACCAAGATGTCAAAAGGGCTGTAAGTATAGGAACAAACATGTGAACAATCCCATTCAGGAGCCTCAAACCGGGGGGCCACCACGACTTTCAGTTGATTGGAGATCGTCGCGGCACGTCCAGGTCATTCAGGTCGTCCAGGTCACGTCCAGGTCACGTCTTCCATGGCTTTCCACCGGAGTCGACTGCATAGAGTCGACCCGTATGGTGGCTTTACCACCCCATTGGTCGAGACTGTTCAGAGGTTCCACGGTGTTAATAACTGCCTGTCGTTCTGTTTTCGGCTTTGTCAGATGTTTCAAATAAGTGTTTTCCATGTTTTTGAACCGGTGGTGCGACACGCGCCCTGTTTTTGCTATGAGCCCAACATGGCGGACAGGTGAAAGATGCCCTTGGCAAGGCAGCCGCTTGGCCAAGACTGGTTTGCGACGTGGAACAGACAACTCAGGAGATCAAGGACAGATATCAGTATACTTATGGTGTGTCCCATTATCAGTAACACTATAGTAACAGTAGCAGTCAGTCGAATATGAGCACTTCTGTTGGGGAAAGGCAACAGGCTCCTACCCATCATCACCCATTGCTGGTCGGATCTGGTCGTGCAACGCCAGTTTGGCCCCCGTTTCGGCGTCTGCCTCAGTTCGGTGCACAGTGGAGCCAGGACTATTGTTGGCTGCAGAAGTTTTTATATTTGTTCACTCATGTTCACACAATGTTAGTCACAGATGTCCGCACATGTCAGGGTGTTGCACATTATTTCTGGCACACAGTTGCCAGAGTTCAGGGCATCCAAGCGAGGCATTTGATGGCATTTGTGTTGTTCTTTTTAACATGTGTGTTTGCATGTTCGTGTTTGGCTCCAGTGCTCTCTAAATGCACTGCCACATGCGTATATATATATATATATGACAAGCTGCTTAAGAGGTCTTGTGTATTGTTCATCAACCCGCTCGGGCTTCGGACATCTTGGATCATCTTCCCGCAACTGTTTTGAGATGTCTTGAGTTTCACCGATCTTTTGGGCCACAGGCCACGTCATGCCACGTCGACCCATCGAGCCGAGTCGACGCGGCGCCGTCGAGCGGTGCCGGCACGGAAGTGCAGAGCGGGGTCGACGGGTCGAGCGTTGCAGCGACCCAGGTGAGCGAGTGCTACATTTGCATGATGGATTGCGATCCAGGCCGGGCGGGGGCTGTTGTTGCACTGGTTATTTTTCGCGGTTTCAACAGGAACACGGTTACAACACGGGAAAACGGGAACGCGGTCAGCCCGGCCGGTGCAATGCAGGGGCATTTTCCTAGATTGGTTTCACAGATTCTGAAGGTGAACTTCCCAAACAAATCGGAATTGTATTTCAGAGCGAGTCCTCCGCTTGTCTCCCTTGAACTGAGCAGTTGGAGTATTGTATGTGTTTCCTGTTTTGTGGGTGTGCATGCCTGCACTTTTTTTTGATTCAGAGTTGATGGGTGTGAAATGGTGTGAATGACAATGACTTGTATAGGGAATGCACCAGATTTGTTTATTTGCATGCTTCAGTCGGCATAGGGCCACCAAGATACTGACTATACTGACTAGTGCAACCAATAAGTTGTCCAGTGGATGTTCATGGTCACATATGGCCAAAATATGTATGTTTTGATTGTTGATTTCATGGTTGTTCATGCTCCAGGTTCAAGCAGGTGGATTGTAGCTCTGTGTCTTCTGAACACTCTCTCCTTTACGGAAGCACGTACAGAACCAATGACTATGTCCAACAACTGGCGATTGTTTCTTTTTAGAGCTCTCTCATTCTTTCCAGTCACCAAACTTAAACCCATGCCAACTACCCTACCGGTGCCCTTTTTACCAACGTTTGTCTTCTGTCGAACCGACTTCTCCGCAGGCAGTGCGATCTTTGTCGCGTGCAACTGTGTGTTCCACCGTGAATGTCTGGAGGAATGGCGCGGCCTAAAGGACCAAGTGCCTTGGACCCAGTTCCCTCGCTGCGCGTCCTCGGAACACGGCGGTCGGACCGGCGGCGCGTCCCTTGGTCGCGTGGGGCGGTCACCGGTGGACGGTGACGGCTGGTTGAAGGGAGGTTTTCCAAGAGCGCACAGAGTGCAAGACTGAAGCACAGCAGCGCAGATTGAAGACCTGTTGGACATCATGATTTGTTGGTTTTATTTGTGGACAACTGTAAGGATAGCGTGGCGTATATTTATGTTTAAGAAAAGAGGTGGAAAAGGATGCAAGATATCCCTGCCTGCCAGGAGAAAGCGTGTGTTCTCCTGACTTTCCTAAAAAGACAAAACCTGGGGCCGCACGCGTCCGTGCGCTCCTTCAGGAGAAGATCAGCAAGGCCGACGCCGCCACCGAAAGCATCAAGTCTCAGAGGGATGCGCTGGAACGGCTGTGCCACCGCTGCAGAGACGGAGACGACGGGAACGTCACAAAGCACCAGTCGGAGTGTGGAACCGATGTACCGATGTACTTCCAAGTAGCTACAGCTGTTCGTATAAGTTTTCACCTGCCGCACCTGCCCTTACAAAAACCAATTCTTTAGGGTACTTTAGAGGTTCATAGTTAAATCGGGTAAATGAGGCGGTATAAATGAAGATTGCTGTGATTGCACTGTCTCACTGGCTGGACTTGGAGTGGCTTGGTGTCAGTCGTTCCATCCAAACAATATCGTTAGCTTCTATGTTGTCACTTGTACCGAGAACTGTTTGTTGTGTTTCTTTGCCTGGAGACCACCCGCTCTCGTGATACAGAGAAACATTGTGAGGTTTGGCAGCTTGCAAACCCTATAAATTGTTTGAAAATGCGTCTTCCTTGGGCAAATGTTGTGGGGGCTTTGAACTTCCAGGTGTTGTTGGACTGTTCTTCCGACCACAGTGGATTTGGACCACTCGTCTTGGAGCTTGGAAGTCCAAGCACTACGACCGTTTTTCTTCGATCAAGTTATTTGAACCACCGAAGACGGTGCATAGGAAGATAGGGTATGGAAACATGGGAAAAACTAACAGGAAGTCCAAACGAAAGGAATAACCCAACTGAAGAGGTCGAAGACTTATTGTCCCATTTGACCTTTTGATACGTTCATCTATCATGTAGTTGTTGACTCGATTAGGCCAGGAGTTTCGTCCCACCGGACGTGTTCCACACGGGACCGCCGTGTCGCAGGTGCGCAGAAGCGGACGAGCAGGTGGAAGAAGCGGAGAAGCAGGCAGTCCTGGCAGTCCTGGCAGTCGCCACAGCACCCTTTTCGGGATTCCAAGCTGTATACGCAGCGAGAAGCATCTTCACAACCTCCCAACATGGACAGGAATGGACCATGTATGGACCATGACTGGTTGACCCCCCACATTAATATGGATGTCAACATATACTGGTTTCTGTGTGACCCACCCCAGCAGTCTCCATTTTGTTGCCCAGGTGGCTTTTGCCCAGCTCCAGGTTGTGGCTTGGCGATTTGACATATGGATGTGGATCAAAACCTGCCCTGGTCCACCATGTAGCCTGACCTTCCGGGTAGGTCAAGCAAGGTATCTATATGTTTCTTTCAAGAAAGGCTTCGAGCAGGTGAGGCCAGGTGAGGCCAACAGCAGTCTGAAGGTTTGAGAAAAGCTTTTGGGTTGAGTAAGGCAGGGCAAGAAGAAGTCCTTAGTTGCAGTATCCACTGGCCAGAGTTGCATTTCTTGAAGTTCAACCTCATTACCACACGTTTTCCCCGGGAGACCTGGGACAAAGTGTGGGTGGTCATGTCTCACACCTGGAAGCCTTCTCCAAAAATTGTTGATTTAAAACAGTACAGTATGTCAATTGACCGTCCCGCACCTGCCACAAAAGTTGGACCCGTTAAATAGAACCGCATTTGACCCAACACTGCTTCATGAACACAATCAACAAACCAAACATAGTGTTTGTATGGAGTGTAGAAGTTGTTGCATATCGTTATATTGATTCATCATAGTTACTCTTGTTCATTCAATAATACAATATATTATAAATAAATATATATATATATTGTTTCAATAGATTGGGATGATATGTGTTAATTTTGTTGAGCAAACTCTTGCAAATGTTCAAAGAGTCCAGTTCTTATGTCGAACATGTTCGATGTTTTAAGCATACATTTGATTTTTTTGTATGTTATGGATAAAGACAAGCGAGCACCAACATTCCAAAATGAAGTGTGCCAACCCACATGTCAACAGAAAAAGATCTTCGGCATGTCAGGAACCCCAAGTTCTGTCCACCCGTCGTTCCTTTCAACTCGTTCCTTTCAACGAGTCTTCGCATGTGCCGAGGATCGGGCCGCCGTGGGGGTGGAACAGGCCATGAAGAAGGCCGGGTCTGTCGAGTCGACCGTTCCTCGCGCGTCCGCCGTCGTCGACGTGAGACGTCGGTGGTCGACCGAGTCACTTGGTTCGTTCCATCGATCGATCCGAATCGATAGAAGTGTCGATTGGCCAAATCTGTGGGTCCCGAGGTCCCGAGCCCAGAGAAGCACCGAAGGCCATGAAGTCCCTGGATTCAGAAGCCTCTCTCAGGCCCAAGCGACGGCAGAAGATGATGAGGAGCAGATACCCAGTGAAGAGGAGGCCAATGATCAGGACGCAGCATCCATCAGGCAATGTCGTGTTTCTTTTTGTTTAATCACATTGTTAATCGTGATTTATCTTCGAAGCTCTTACTAGAAACATCTAGAAACAAAGCTTCCCGGTAGAAAGAATGCACCAGGGACCAATTTGTGTGCAAGGCTCTTCTGTCGCTCAATATATGGTGAGCGGTTTAAGGGATGTTGAGGGTATACACGGAAACATTTTAGCCCCCATCTTTGAACGAAAGTGAACCACTCAACCACTAGCCACGGAAGTCCAAAATGTCCAAAACGTACAGTATCAGTTTCGTTATGTTTCATATATGCATATTACAATGGGTCACGTACGCGGATGTAAAAACGAAACGGACCTGAAACTCTTTCATCCGCAGTGTGTTTTGGCTTCAGCTATGCCAGACGGCCCCCCTGGCGAGGGGGGGGCCGCATCCACCGGCTTCCTGCGAGTGCCCCCTTTGTCGCACTTTCAGGAAGGTCGCTGGATTGGTATTTGGAGCCAATTCGACCCAAGCTCTTCGAGATCGCGTGAGGCCATACATCGAAGGGCTATATACACAGTTGCTTGAGATCGCCCTGGAGGTTCGGGGGCCACCTGCCCGTGTGTGCGAAGGGGCAGGGCTATCTGGGGCGGTGCGGCCTGAAGGCCCAACATCGCCCCCACCGGCGGGAGAGCCGGCACGAGACAGTGAAGGACGAGGTGATCCCAAGCAAGCAGAAGAAGCTCCTGGGCAGGCGGGAGTGAAGGTGGAAAAGGAGGACGAGTCCCCAGAGGAGGTCGTGGGAGAGAAGAAGGCCCTTCCTGTGAGGCCAACCACCCGTGCTCCTGGAGAGGGAGAGGGTGAGGGGGCTACTTCGGCCAGCTCACGGCCGGAGGTTGAAGCCGACGAGAACGAGGAGACCGAGTCCAAGCGGAAGAAGAGGCCACCTCTACCCCGGCAGAGGCGTGGAGGATACGATCGGCGAGACAGCTCTAGAGGACGGAGGAGGCGAGAAAGTTCTCGGCGGAGACGCCGTGAAGCCTCCCGTACACCCAGTCGCCACGAGCTCCACGCAAAAGCAGCCCCCAGTTCGAAGAGGCCGAGAACCCCGTCCAGGAGCCCACCAAGCGTCCACACCCCGGAGGACAAGAGCTCCCCGGGTGGAGAGCCACGATCCAGCCTTGCAAGGTTCGAAGGCACTTCATTGGAGGTCGCAGAGGAGGAGCCCCGCAAGGAGGACACACCCCATACTCTCCCCGCTGAGGAGGAGTCCGAGGAGGCAGTTGAGCTCCCTGAGGAAGAAGCCCCTGAGCTGGAGCTCCCGGAGTCGGAGTCCCCTGCCAAGAAAGGAAAGGCCAAGGGGAAAGGAAAGGGCTTCAAGGGCAAGAAAGGAACGAAGTCCAAGCCGAAGAAAAAGAATCGGGGACTCAAGAAGACCTGGAGGAACATCGACTTCTACGCCAACAAGCGCCGTGATCCTACATGGCGCCGAAACGCCCCTTGAGAAGACCTGCCGTGGCCCCGAAGAGGGTCAGGGTGAGCAGACGACCAGCAGCCGTGATTCCGGACGAGGACGACTGGGAGAAGGCGTCCGAAGTGAATGTGCGGGAGCTGAGCTCCTGGCCAGCAATCTATGTACAGGGGCTGTATTGGGACAATCACGCCGAAGTTATTGGCGAGATGAAATCCCTGGAGGTCGGGGACGACGGGACGATGTTGACAGTGAAAGCCCATGGGACGACATCGGAGGAGCTGTTGAAATTGTTGTCCGGGAAGGCCACCAAGCTGCTCCAGATTCACCTTTGCGACGATCCCTGCAGTCATCTTACATGGAAAGAGGGCCTGATCCATGCAACCAGGCTCAAACGCTGCCAGTACGAGGACTATGCTTGGAGCCGCAATGCAGAGGTGAGCGTCAGAGAGGCCGAGAGGGACGAGATGGCTGTCTTGCGGAGGGAGGCCGCAGAGCGAGGCAAGGGAGTTGGGATCGGGGCGGGGGCTCCTGGGGTAGCTGCGGAGGAGGCAGCTCGGGAGCCACCCAAAGAGGCGAAGGACGAGTCCAGCAAGAAGAAAAAGAAGAAGAAGAAGAAGGCAAAAGAACGTATGACCCCGGTCAAAAGTCTCGAAGCCCTGTTTGCCACGACCGGCCTCGATCCCAGAGAGGACGTACGTCGCAGACTCCGAAGACGTGCCAAACGCCTAGGGCGAAAGGCCAGGACGAAGAAGAGCTCATCAGGCAGCAGCTCCAGCAGCTCTTCGAGCGGCAGCATGACCTCGGAGGAGGGACCAGTCGAGGAGCTGTTCGCGCCGGTCTCGGCGCCCCAGAGGATTTGGCGCCGGTTTCCAGGTGTTCTCACCTCGACGATGATACTCGAAGCACAAAGAGTTATGCTCCTACAACTCGGTGCGGGCCTGCACGAGGCCGAGAGTCAGAGTCTTCGGCCAATGGTCAGCCAATATTGTCGGCAACACCTTATTGCAAGCATGGCGCCCCCAGTGGCACGAGAAGCTTTGCATTGGTCCGCCGTCCTCGATCTCCTCTTGGAGGGTCGAGTAGCCAGTGCAATGGACGTCATGACCCAGCGGCTGAAGAGTTTGGAAGGGCTGAGCAAATCTATGAGGCCGGACCTCCTCCGACAGCTAGAGTTGCTACCCCTGGATCGCGGGGGGCTGGCGACGTCAACGGAGGTACAGATGGCGGGCCAGGCGGCGAACCACGAGGCGAAGGTATTGCAGAAGTCGACAAACAGACCTTGGGAGGATCGCCCCAAGGGGAAAGAAAAAGGAGAGAAAGGGAAATGGAAAGGAGGAAAAGGCGAGAGCAAGCCCTACGACCAGGACAAATCCAAGAAGGAGAAGGGCGAGGGCAAGAAGAAGGCGTGAACTATGAGTTGACCGGGAGCTCACGGGGGGGCCATGGGGTCACCCTGGAAGAAGCTCCTGGGGAGTATGAACAGGACGAGTGCATGGCAGGGACCGGCTTCAGTCGTGAGAGGGCTGGACCAGGTCCTGAATTCGATAGATCTGGTATGGAGGCAGCGCTGCAAGATGGTGAGCCTTTGTGCCGTACAGCAAGCATTTCTCCACAGCAGGATGCCGTATTGACACAAGAAGAGGCCGACCCTGGCGAACGTCACGATCGGAGCAACTCTTCTATTGCAGCCATTTTCAACTGGGCGGTTGAGGTGTTGAGGAAAGACGGACTTTCACGATCACGACGCTCCACCACGGAGTTCGACCCTGGGCCTCATTGTCCGCCGTTCCCTCTTCGGATTCGAACGGAGGGCTGGGGATCAAGGTTGGGCTTCCCCCACCTGCCCAAGTTTGACGACCTGGTTTGTGGCACGATGGCAGCTCTCAATCATTTGGCTGGATATGAGGGCTCCCTTACGGCAGAACCAGATGGAGTTGCATCGTCATCCATGGCATCCGAGACGAGCATCCGTTCGCTTGCGGAAAAAAGATTAGCGGCTCTCATCGTTCGCAATCGCATGTGGGAGGTTCCGGAAAGTTCGCTGTCGTTTAGTGAGTTTTTCTCGAGACGCAAGGTTGATTATTGTGGGGAAGAAGTGAAACTCGCCCAGAGTGTGAGTTGGGCAGCCGTGAATGAATCACTTCCGGAAGGTGTTGGGAGCTTGCCACTCACGGACTTTTGCACTTTGGGCACGAAGGGTTACGTTGATGATTTTGAGCGTTATTTGATGCCAGTAGACGCACAGGTGAGGGTCAAACCACCACGGGTTATGATCAGTGAAGGGGAGTGGCACAACGTTTGCACCGGGTTGATTGAAAAGAAGGTGTGTGAAGTTTGGCCTGTGTCTCAACTTCACCATATAGGTGGGGCACCCTTGCTCAACGGCATGTTTGCTGTGGGCAAGGGGGAGTTCAAGTCAGGCATTGAGACTCAGCGTCTGATCATGAACCTGGTGCCAGTCAATCAAATATGCAAATCGCTTGAGGGAGACGTGGGGACTCTCCCTGCGGTCACGGGCTTGAGCGGGTTTCTCCTGGGGTCGGGGGAAGTCGCCCTCCTATCGTCAGAGGATATCAAGTGTTTCTTCTATCTATTTGAGATCCCTACATCATGGAGGAGATACATGGGGTTCAACAAAGCAGTGCCGGGGGACCTGGTCCCAAAGGAGCTCCAAGGGCAACCCTGCGTGTTGGTGTCCCCATGGGGTTTTTGAACTCGGTCAGTATCGCCCAGCACATCCACCGGAACGTCGTCCGATGGGCGGCTTTGGCAGGAAACCCTCCAGTGGGTGCCGAAGGCGAGCTCCGGAAGGACCGGGCCATGAGTTGTTCGGCTGACCTGTACCGGGTTTATTTGGACAACTTCGACGCTCTGGAGAAGGTAGATGCTAGTTTAGCGGGACAGATCAAGGGTACAGTGAAGCCTCAGGTGGAAGTTCTTCGTGACATGTACCTTGAACAGGGCTTGCCTAGGCACCCCAAGAAGGCAGCAGAGAGAGTCACCCTGGGAGAGCTGCAAGGAGCCCTCCTGGATGGGGAGGCAGGCTATGCTATGCCCAAGCCACAGAAAGTCATCCAGTATTGCAAATTAGGGTTCGAGCTCCTGGTGAGGGGGCAATCCACACTGCGTGAACTTCAGGTGGTATGCGGGGGCTTTGTTTACGTGGCTATGTTTCGTCGACAGTTGCTGGGAAGCTTGAACGCGGTCTTCGAGCACATGAAGCGGTTTGAAGGTGAGGCGCCGGTCGTGCGTCTGGGGCTCCCGTACCAGGTCAGGGTTGAAATTGCTCGTTTCATCCTGTTGACCCCTTTAGCCCAGATGGAGTTCCGCTCACCTGTGGATGGTGAGGTCACCTGCTCAGACGCTTCAACCCTAGGAGGTGGTCTCTGCGCCTCAAAGGGATTGACGAGTTATGGCATGAGTGCTGTTTGTTGCCCAGGTCGGGGAGACCTTCCCGAGGAGCATGATTTGGTACAAGTGTTGTCTGTGTGGTTATTTGACGGGATAGCTGCGCTCCGGGTAGCGTGTGATGTCCTGGGGCTCCCAATGGCGGGTCACGTGAGCATCGAGAAGGACGGCAAGTGTAGACGTGTGGTGGAGAGCTTCTTCCCAGACACGGAGTTCTTTGAGGACGTTTGTGAATTTGGGGAGGAGCAAGTAAAGGCCCTGGCCCTAAAGTATAGCAACGTTGGACTGATCATTGTCGGAGCGGGGCCACCATGTCAAGGTGTGAGCGGGCTAAATGCCGGCCGCCTCGGCGCCCTCAGGGATGAGCGTAGCTGCTTGTTCCAGGAAGTCCCCAGAATCACTTCATTGTTCAGGCGGGAGTTTTATTGGGCCCAAGTCCATGAGATGATTGAGAACGTGGCGTCCATGTCCAGAGGGGACAGAGCAACCATGAGTGAGGCGTTCCAGAGAACCCCCCACAAGATAGACGCCAAAAGCATGTCGCTATGCGCCCGGCCAAGACTGTACTGGACTACGTGGGAGTGCTCGAGCGGCCCCGGGGTCTCCTGGCAGCAGGGAGACGGACAGGGCTGGGAGGCCTACGACACGTTTTGCTTGGAGGCTCAGGTGGAGACCAAGGCCCTTCTACTGCCGGGTTGGAGCGTGCAAGATGGTTGTCATTTACCCACCTTTACCACCTCGAGGCCACGAAACACTCCTGGGCGGAGACCAGCGGGAGTAGAGCAATGCGCTAGCCACGAGCTACAGCGGTGGTATGATGACTACTACAGGTTTCCGCCTTACCAATACAGAGACACTCACGGCCTCTGGAGTAAAAGCGGTGAGTGGCGGAGGCCCTCGGCACAGGAAAGGGAAGCATGCATGGGGTTTCCCATCAACTACACAAAACATTGCGTGGTGAAGGCTGAACAGCAAGGTCCCGATTATGAGGACGCTCGCATGTCGTTGATTGGAAATAGCTGGCACGTTGGCGTGGTAGCATGGTTGATTGAGCAGCTCACCCAACCCCTCGGCATTGGGCCCAAGATGACACTGCAGGACATAGTCGATGCAACCACTCCTGGGAAGGCACGGGAGTTCCCTTCAATGTTGCTCCGGCCTCCGCATCAGGGCCGGTTGGGGTCTGCAGAGATTGGTTCAGAAGAACGCCTGGTGAAAAAGTGTCTAGGACTCGCCTCCAACAAGGGTGAGGACCTTTTGGTGCATGCGGCAAGCGACCCCGCCCCGAGGTATTTCAGACTTCGTGCAAGTATTCCGGGCCGCCTATGGCATTGGCGAGAAATTTCTGGGTGGCGATGGAAGATGACGGGAGAGCACATAAACCTCCTGGAGATGCGAGCAATCTATACTAGCATAAAGTGGAAGGTGAGCAGATGCAAGAAACTGGGAGTGCGCTTCCTACACCTTACAGACAGTTTGGTGTGCCTACACGCTCTGACTCGGGGCAGAAGCTCGAGTCGCAAGTTGAGACCAATTTTGATGAGACTCAATGCTTTGCTGTTGGCGGCTGACCTTCATCCCCTTTGGGGATACATACATACTTCCCAGAACCCGGCCGACCGGCCTAGCCGGCGGCCTGTTCGCCGACGATGGGGAAAGTAGGGAAGAAGGTTTTTGAAGGTCAGACAAAACAGCAAAGGCAAGCACAGAGAAAAGAGCTAGGCGCACTTCGCAGTCTCACCGTTTCAACCAAGACTAGCAATAGATATGTCGCGGCCCGTACAAAGTTTTATGACTTCCTTCGGGACAACTCCCTTGAGATCCCCCGCAGGCGGGAGCAGTTTGACAGCCTCCTGGCGGAATACATTGAACATCTGTGGGCCGAGGGAGAAGGCCGCGGGCTAGCGGCCGATACGGTAGCTGGCCTGCAAGACACGGACCCGAAGCTGAAAGGACAGCTGCAGCTGACCTGGAGACTTTTAAAGACATGGAATGTCAATGAAGTCCCGAATAGGGCGCCACCACTCACAGAGGCCGCGCTTGAAGCGATGGTCGGCTGGAGCTTTTTTCACGGCCATTTCGGATTCGGTGTCTCGCTCCTGGTGGGATTTTACGGGATGCTGCGCACCGGGGAACTGACGACCTTGAGAAACTCTCACGTTTTTATGAAGAAGGCTTCTGCACCCGCTGTACTTAGCCTTGGCCTCACTAAGAGTGGGAAACGCGTTGGTGCGTCTGAATCGGTCACCCTGACAGTTGCTGTCGCACTTCAGTGGTTATGGGCTTGGAAGAATAGTACCACACCGCAAGCCCTTTTCGTTTCTTCGGCATCAGCCTGGCGTAGGCTGTTTTCGGAGTGTTTGCAAGCACTGCAGCTCACCCTTTTTGAGTTTCGACCCTACTCGTTGCGTCGAGGGGGGGCTACTTGGTGGTTCACCAAGCATGGTTCGTTCGATAAGTTAATGGTAGCTGGAAGGTGGCAAGCTGCCAAAACTGCCCGAATTTATTTGAACGAAAGCATGGCAGTGCTGGCCGACATGAGACTTCCCCACAAATCCTTGTTGCCCTTTGCACGAGCTTTCCATAACCAAGCTTCACCTCCACACTTGAGCTCGCGGGCGCGCCGCAGAAAAAGGGGGACGTGGAAGGGGGGTCTTTCTTTGCCACTTTTTTCGAAAAAAGCCTCAGCT